AAATAAAATAAAACCATTTTCTTTTCCCATACACACATTACAGTCAATTGCACACAATTCATCTTAATTTTATAACGATTTGATACTGTCATCTTAAAGTATCATGCAACATTTACAATAACAACAAAAGCAACAATAAGTATACAAATATACATACATACGTCTATATGTAGGGATATAAAATTTATATTGCCAAAGTGCCCAATGTGATTTTCGTGTGAAAATCTCGCGATTTAGCCAAAGGCTTAAATATTAAATACAAGCCAAAGACAATAAACAAACAGATGGACAGACAGACAGACGGACGGACTGACAGACAAACGTACAAACAAACGGACAGACGGACGTAAACATTAACGTATAAATGTATTGAAGGACAGACAGCTAGACATACAAACAAAGATATCATACAGTATTGTAAATACACACACATATATGGTTACAAACATACATGCGCAAATAAAAAACAATACTACTGCAAACTTTGACTTTATAAACTGACAAAAAACATTGAAAAAAAGACCTTAAAACAAGAAATTTAACTGGTTGGCACAACTGATGACTGAATGGTTTCACGTTCATGTAATAAATATAGCAACACAAACACTTATATGTGCCACGTATTTTCCTCATGTATATGTATACGTTTTTTGGGGGATTTAATACGTCTTGACCGTTTTTAAATGTTTGACTCATTTTTTGCTTTTGTTATTTTCACTAACTCTCACATAAACGTAGATTTCCGCTGCTTAAACTGTAGACTTTTTAAATAAATTGTTGGCATGTATGTGCACAAGTGTTTACACATGTGGATAGAAAAATAGGTGTGAATTTTTATTCAGTAAAGACTGTAGTCTATTTATAATTGAGAATGAACTCCATTCTAAAGTCCGAGCTATAATCTTTTCCATAATGCAGACTATAGTCTACTATATAGTATATTCTATAGTCCAGACTATAGACTATTCTATAGTCCAGACTATAGTCTATTACACAGTCCAGACTATAGTCTATTACACAGTCCAGACTATAGTCTATTCCATAATCCAGACTATAGACTATTCTATAGTCCAGACTATAGTCTATTCTATAGTCCAGACTATAGTCTATTCAATAGTCTATTCTATAGTCCAGACTATAGTCTATTCTATAGTCCAGACTATAGACTATTCTATAGTCCAGACTATAGTCTATTCCGTAGTCCAGACTATAGTCCAGACTATAGTCTATTCCGTAGTCCAGACTATAGTCCAGACTATAGTCTATTCTATAGTCCAGACTATAGTCTATTCTATAGTCCAGACTATAGTCTATTCTATAGTCCAGACTATAGTCTATTCTATAGTCCAGACTATAGTCTATTCTATAGTCCAGACTATAGTCTATTCTATAGTCCAGACGATAGTCTATTCTATAGTCCAGACTATAGTCTATTCTATAGTTCAGACTATGGTCTATTCTATAGTCCAGACTATAGTCTATTCTATAGTCCAGACTATAGTCTATTCTATAGTCCAGACTATAGTCTATTCTATAGTCCAGACTATAGTCTATTCTATAGTCCAGACTATAGTCTATTCTATAGTTCAGACTATAGTCTATTCTATAGTCCAGACTATAGTCTATTCTATAGTCCAGACTATAGTCTATTCTATAGTTCAGACTATAGTCTATTCTATAGTCCAGACTATAGTCTATTCTATAGTCAAGACTATAGTCTATTCTATAGTCCAGACTATAGTCGATTCTATAGTCCAGACTATAGTCGATTCTATAGTCCAGACTATAGTCGATTCTATAGTCCAGAGTATAGTCTATTCTATAGTCCAGAGTATAGTCTATTCTATAGTCCAGAGTATAGTCTATTCTATAGTCCAGACTATTGTTTATGCTATGGTCCATATTATAAACTATTCTATAGTTCTTTTTTCCAGAAGCTACTTTAAAATAGAGGTAATGAATACAACTAGTTTTCCATGCATATGTGTACTAACAAAGGTGTGTGTGTATTTCAGTATATTTGTGCATTTTGGGTGGAAAAAAAATCACAACCACAAAAATTCGCGAAAAAAATGAATTCTAAAAGAGGCAACAATACTATCGCCCTTTGGGCCAAATGCACGCGGCTTATATCGTCACATCATGCCCCTTTGCAATGGTCACGTTTCCTAAACAATTGTCTTGCAATAGTTTAAGCGTTTTTTTTTTGCCGTTGCATGTTGTTGCATTTATTTGTTGCTGTGACTGTGTTGCTCTTGTAAATGTTATGTGGCCATTAGGCATTGAATGTTAATTCCTATGTGTATAAGTTTGTATGTGAAAATAAATTCGTAAATAGCCGATTTATCCAATGGTTTCTTTGTGAGAGAAGGAAAAAACTATAAAATTAAAACTGGAATATATACAATAAATGCCCTTAAACGTGGGAGATATGTTATTGATTCCTTCGGTTTGATCATGGATTTAAAGAAAGTTGCATATTTAAGGTTTGATATAGAGATTGAATCTATAGAATATTCTCAAAATGTAGCTTTTAAATATGTTTTCAATATATCAATTATATTTTTATATTGCTAAATATTCTACTCTTCATATTTCTATTCTTTTATCAAATCCCATTTATACTTGTCTTGTTAGGACATTGAAAACCACTTTCAAATGTTAAACAAATTGATATACTTTTTAGTGTTTAAATCATTAATTGACAAAGCCATTATGTCACCTTTTGCCCCGTCATTAAGCTCTCTTTAATAACAAAAACAGATGTTTGTGAAAATCGCCATCACATCATTGTTTAGAATGACGCATAATCACATTATTGTTCACAAAAATTTATCTCGTATAAATGGACAAATTTGTGCAATTGTTTGGGCGAAAGATCGTCGAAGTAACAAGGCAATTTTACAAACTATCTACATGTGAATTTGGTAAACAACTGCATGTTGCAGTAGCTAAATACCAACAAACTTGTTAGTATAATATATTTTGTGTTGGTGTTATTTAAAAGAATTATTTCATTAATTTAATTCTATTGGGTTTTATGTGTGGTTGCTTCTAGAGCAAAAGTTTGTCGTTAATTTAACTTCAATTTGAACTTTGCTAAGACTATTTAATAGATACCACATCAAACGGTATAAATTTTTATACATTTTCCTATTATCTCACGAATATTCTTAGAGTTGGTTTTGTTGGAATACAATACGTATGGTTAATATTTGAAAAATAATATCACTCATACTACCCGTATTCCACGAACATTTTTAATTATTTTGTATTTCCGAATTTGATGTTACACTGGCTTTAAATGTTTAGTTTTCACTCAAATAAGTTTGTTCTAAAAAGAGAAGATTTAAGCTTTTGAAGACTCTGTTATTCTATAAATTTTCCTGATTTTTCACGATTATTCTTAGAGCTGGTTTTATTGGAATACAATACGTATGGTTAATATTTGAAAAATAATATCACTCATACAACCCGCATTCCACGAATTATCAATTATTTTGTAATTTCGAATTTGTTACACTTAAGTATTATTGTACATTTTAAAAACTTAGATTACACTGGCTGTAAATGTGTAGTTTTGGCATAATTTTTGTTCTAAAAAGAGAAGATTTAAGACTTTGAAGACTCTGTATAAATTGCTTTGTTCATTGTATGCAGTTTTAAAGGGATACTATCTACCCATTTTATTATTATATTTTTAATAATTTGTGTACTTTCTGCAGTACAAATAGATGCCAATGGCCACTAAATTGTCAATATGTAATCTAGAGAGTAGACAATTTGTTGCTACATGAACCTAAGTAAGTTGGTATTCGACTCACCAGGAGTAATCCGCTGAAGAGATAATTGATAGGAAGTGTAATGCGAATATAGTCTGATTTCCTTTAAGAACACTTGGGTAATTGTGTAACAAGTTTTAATCCTAAACTATAGTAATAATAATCACTACACATTCCGAACTGCAGGATAGTTATCTGCATATCTAACCACATATGTAGTTACAAATGCATTGGACACAGATATATACACTTGAACTTAAATACATATACAAATATGTATATATATGAATGAGTGTGTATCACTGTATATGTGTTAGAAAACATTTCTATTGCTTCGCGTATGTATGCTGTTGCTGCAGCATAGCATCATCAGTTGTTGAGTTGAATTTTGTATAAATGTTTATGCTTAAAGCGTATATTTTGTATTTTCGCGACGTGACTTTGCCGTAAGATGATATTTACTGTCAACGTGTTTTGTGGACATTTCCGTTGGCCAATAACGACCGAATCAACACACACACACGTACATATATAAACACAAACAAACAAGCATCCAACCAAACAATTCATGTCGTTTGCATAGAAGATTTGAGAGATTTTAGACTTTGGCTATACTAAAATTAAACAAATGCATAAACACATAGACATACATACACACATACATATGTATATAAGTGTGTGTTTATTCACACATCCTTATGCAAATACTCGTTACTCATACAAGTCTACTGCCACTTTAACACAAATTGTTATTTGTATAAATAATACATGTTGCTGTTGCAGCTTCTTGATGAATAATGCTGTTTTAAATGCTTAACGGTTTCATTAACCAACAATAACGACAACATCGTTCTCAACATTTTGTGTCATTATAAGCAGATACAATCACTTTTGTAATTCAGTTTTGAGATTTATGCAAAAAAATGTTAATGATCAGTTATTAATATACACACACAAACTGCTGGAAATGATAGGAATGACTATAGATTTATATATTAGGCAATTTGTTGTACTAGCTGACGTACTTGATTGACCGGTAGTTGGTTTGCTAATTATACTAGTTGGCTTGCCAATGGCTTTTTAGCATGTCGTTTAGCTGCTAACAGTTATTTAAAGTTGCATATTTCTTTTTGATTACTTATGTATGTTGTTTTTTAATTGTTATGAATATTTGATAGAATTATGAAGTTAAGTAAGGTATTTTGATAGTGAACTCACCTTTTTGGACAAGAGGACTCCACCGTCAAAGGTGATCTTTGATCCAATGCCACAAACGATGTTCTGTAAGATAAGAAAATTTATGGAAATTTTATTTGTTATTTAATTGATGGATATTAATTTATTTTAAAAGTTGTATTCGAATAAAATATTTATCTTTATATATCTGATAAACTGGTTTAAGTTATGGGCCTATTTATTTAGTTTAATTTCAGATTAAAAATTGATTAATCTTCACACTAAAGACATAATATTTGCATAATATTTTACGACGCTATTAAGTATAAATATACTGCATCCTAATGGAAAGTGCAGTAGATTAAGATATGTCCGTCTGTGTGTCTCTTGAAATCTGAAGACTCGGTGTATCGTCTATTCTATTACTGACAGACAGTCAGCAAACTCCTGGAACATTGTCAAAAAATTCAAATTCTTGTCATTACATACTTTTTTGGTTAAATGTTGTTATTGTATTTAGTTTTTTCTACACAAGAAGTTAATGAAAGAAAACAACAATACATAGTGTTTGTCTTCGTTGTAAAATTTTTATTATTTACTAGACTTGTCACATTAAAAATGCTGAAATCAAGGATGGAAACAGATTATTATAACATTTATTATCTTCAGCTATTTTCAAGCTATTTGAACGGAAGTTTAACAATAAAATCGATATTCAGGAAAAATATAAGAATTTGTTTCAAAATAGTTCTAATTTCTAGTTCTAGAAGTAAGACAAATAATTCACTATAAAGCAGAAGATAGTCTGCTCTATAGATAACACGTTGTACTGTACTATAAGAAGGACTAAGAAATAGACTATGGTCGGAACTATGGACTAAAGTATTTACCAGGCGGGAATACTGGTTAATTTTGTAATTTTGTTCCTTTTCTTATTATTCGTCATTTTTTGATATTCAAAACTTTGATGAGTAAATTTGCAGTTTTCATTCTCCCCTCGCTTAGGGACTGGTCTGAACTATAAATCAGACTAAATAGCAGTATGTAATCTAAAGTATAGAGCTGATCAAAATGTCCAAACGGAGTCTCTTCGACTCTACTTGACTGTTAGCGCGCAGTGAACTACCATATTAAGCAATAAAGCGGATTATAGTCAGGACCATAAAATTTATAAAACAGGTTCCAACGTTAACAATATCAATCACTTAAAACAGCGGTTCCCACAGATATTTACTTCGCGGACCCCTTGAAGAACTTATTTAATTTCGCGGACCCCCATACATATTTTGATATCTTATTGTTCTAAATAATTGTCCATGCGAAAATTGACCTAGTTCATTAATCCCTAGGTCTAATAAATGTAGAGATGTCATATCTATAAAATATTCCCGTACATTGAGAATATATAATATTTCAGATAGGTTTTCAATTGCATGTTTTGAAGATAGAATGACTTCTTTGTTGATATGTTAACATGATGTTTAATTTTATGATCGTGAGATCTTTCATGTTCATTTTTCTTCAAGGTAGCGAAAAGGTTTCTTTATCAAATATTGTCACATGTGCTTAAGGAGTCACGTTTCAAGAATTTGTTGCGATTGCAAAGGGTGAACTGAGTAAGTGAGCTAAGTTTTCGGGAAAATAATATAAGAAAGTTGGACTTCTTCTATGTTGCTGCGGAATGCGTTATCCGCATAATATATGATTTGAACTCTTTGTTAAAGTACTGTGAATTTGGAACTTAAATTTGAATTTTAAAATACCAACGAATTATTTTACTTCATGGTTTTTGGCTACATATTTACACGAAACGCTATGGATTTTCTGATGTTAATTTAATAATATGTATTGGTCGACAAAATCAAGTTAAAATCTGTGTATCACGTCGGATTGGAATATTTATAAAGAGATGCATAAAGAGTCACCTCTGTTTTGGAAATATATAATTTTAGTCTTTTCAAACGAGAACACTTTTGCTTACAATTTGATAAACTTAAATCTGTAATAAGCTTGTCTTTGAATTGAACTTCATACTCCGGAATACCAGTATCCCTAATTTAATTGTAAGGCAGAGTATTATTTGTCTGAAATAAAAACCATTATTTCAGTACATATACAGGAAATAAAAATTACAAATCACGCAGTACTTTACTTTATAAAAGTTATACAATAAATTTGTAGGGCCTAGCTTCTTCCTGATAAACAACCGAAAAAATAAAATTCAAAAAGTCACCATAAATTTGGGATTATTGCACAAAAATTGGAGATATTTGTACATACATATAAAAGCAGAATATTGTTTATTCATGGTTTTTTTCGTTCGTCTTCGCGGACCCCCTAGGATTTTACTACGGACCACTAGGGGTCCGCGGACCCCCATTTGGGAACCGTTGACTTAAAACATAACTAGTTCAAAATTATTCCCAACAATTTATATTAGAGATTATTTTGAACAAAGTCCGAAGGTGCCATTTTCAAACAAAAATCGTTAATGTTCCACGTTTCCAGAAGTGTTATGCATGGAATATCAAGTTACTGCTAATATCAAGGAATCCTCTGCGTAAAACTGTTATTCATGGGTTGAATCTGAGTTTATTTGAAATTGGGCAGCCGTATCTGAATATTTTGTCTGCACTGCTAGAGAAAAGATCACAAAATCTATTATCACTCGATAAGTTTGACCTTAAAATGCTAATGGAAATATATTGCGTGGTTTTATATATCATCTTTTCTTCATCGGTAATGCTGAGAAGCTGCTGTGAAGAGTTTATGAATGAAGCAGGATGAAGCTTTACAACATAAACATTGAAATTAATTACTTACACCACCAAAGTCACTATCTATCACACTAAATAGGACTATAACAGAGCAATAACTTTGTAATAACTTGTATTTACTGCACTTCTTATTTTTTAATGACTATTTCATACCATATTATTACTTGGAAGTAGTTTATTAACATAAAATCTGATACTTCATCGGTGTTTTTGTAAGAGTCTACTTTTAAAGATTTAATTATCTATATCAGTCACGAGCAAAACTGAAATTCTAATGCACGCGTGCATAGGCCAAGAAATTCTGCTGACGCTTTGTTGACACACCTACACTATAAGCTTGTGTGTATTAGTGTTTACTAAAATGACCACTTGTTTGTTGCCACTGTTGCCAACTTTTTTCCCAAAAATATCGCTAAAGTCGACTGAAAAATAGCTAGAAAATAGCTAAATTCAAGACATTTTGAAAAATTTAGCGATAAATCGTCAAAATAATATTTATTATATGATTCTGAAAAGAAATAGCTAAAAAAAAGCTAAATTTTTCAGATTTTTTATATTATTCTAAAAAGTCAGCGATTTGTCGCTAAAATCTATATACATACGTAGGAATGGGATAGTGATACAAACACATCTTATAACAAACACATAAGAGAATCTTTTTTTATGTTAAATATTTTCACTTTGGGTTAGGAAAAATGTCAAGTTGAGGTTAATTTCGATATGCGACCCTATACAGATTGCTTTAGAAATGTTGTAAATATAAATTGAATTTCGAAATGCTGGCCTATATGGATCGATCCTTTATTTTCGGCATAAGAGTATTATTTATTTTTCCATTACAATACAATTACAAATTATATTCTAACCTAATTTACCGAGCAGGGTGACGATAACCATACGACCGTTGTAGTGTAGCAGACCAGGATCTCTGCTGGGAATCGAACCCACAACCCCCAGACTGACAGGCTAGCACACTACCAACTAGCCTACCGGGGCACCCAAGATTATTATTATACACTCCTTTTGTGGGAAGTTTATCTGCAATATCGATATGCGGCCCTATACGCCTTAGAAATGTTGTAAATTTTTAGGACTTTATGGATCGATCCTTTCGTCACTTATTTCCAATGTTCACTAATTTTTAGAATTATGGTAGATTTTATTATTATATCACTCATTTACTAAAAGACTAGAATAATTAAATATTCGTTTTTTAATTGAGTACAACAAAATATACCCCTTTTAAAGTTTTTCGTATAACTTTACCTGTACGCACAAATATTTGCTCCTAATTATGTTCTTCAGAACATTCAAAATAAGTATAATACACACAGTTAAAACTCAAATAATTTACATTGAATGCATATTTTTATATACATACATATATGTAAATATCGTCATTCGTAGCAACTTTTAAGCGATATTATCAAAATATAAATTAATAAAAAATGCCTTAAAATCTAAAGAAAAATCGCTATATTTCCCGCTAATAGCTAAATCATATTTTCCCCCGCAAAATGGGATTAAAAATCGCTAGATTTGACGAGAAAATAGCTACAGTGTTTGTTGCTTTGTTACGATCTCAGAGATCAAAATCAAATCAGTTGCTGTTCAGCTTTTGTAGAAGCAAGATCACGTTGCGGATTTTTTTATGCTTATGATTTTTTCTCTTTTATTACACCTAGCAAAATGTTTGATATACATTGGGAAAATGATTTCTTTTTTATAGAAAACATGGACGGTGAGGCACAATGCGTCGTATGTTATAAAATTATATGTAGAAAAGCTTTATTTTTTTTGAAAAGGCATTATGAAACTTGCCATGGACCCTTAAATGACCTTAGGGGACATGACAGAAAAGTAAAGTTGTTGCAATTAAAAGGTTACCGATCAACACATTGGTGACTTATTGCGTATTAAGGAATATAAAGGAAACATTGATTTGGATAGATTAGTTGAACTTTAAATTAAGTTCAGTTAATATCTCGGTAATATCCCTTAAAAGTTCGAAATCGAATAGAAAGTCGTGATTTTCTTAATGATATTTCAGTAGTTTTATTTAATACTACTTTTTAAAAATACTACTACTTTTCTTAAATGAAAAACTCTTTCCCTTTATTCCATTTTTGTTTAAAATGCCCAAAAGTTCATGAGTTTTTCTCGTCGTAAAAAGTATTTGCAATAGAAAACAAATTTCAAAACTTTTCTCAGTGTACCACCATTTTGTTATAACGTGCAGTCATCTCTCTGCTGCTTAATGCACACAAATATACACATGGTGGTATGTGTTTGCCCATGACTGATCTATATGGATAGTAAATGTCGTAGTTTAAGTAGATTAACATGTTAGTTTTTGCTGGGAAACTTTATAAATAATGCTTTTTTTGTTTTATCCTATCCGCAACTCTTCTAAAAGAGTCTTTTATGGGTACCTCTGTTGATCAGTTTCGATAAATTATACCCTTCACCAGGCATGGGGGTAATGATTACACAAAGTAATTCATTGCATGGTTAATTACAATTACTTATAATGTGTAATTGAGCAATAACCAATTTCAAATATTTGTAATTGAAGTTTCTCTAATTATAATTACTTGTAATGTGTAATTGACCAAAATCCAATTACAAATAATTGTAATTGGAAAAACTTCAATTACAAGTAATTGTAATTGGTAAAGCTTCAATTACAATTACTTCAAATGTAATTGTAATTGAAAATGTAGTCATTTCAAAACCAGCCCTTCACCTTCGTGAGAAGAGTGTAGAAGTCTTCCATTCCGTCTGTAATGTTCACAATATACTTTTTCCGACCCTTTAAGAATACATATTCTGGATCATTATATATAGCAGAGTCGATTAAGCCATGTCCGTCTGTTTATTCTGTCGGTCTGTTCGTCTGTCTGTCTGTCTTTTTGTCAGTATGTGTGTCTGTCTCTCTGTCCGTCCGTCGGTGTGTCTGTTGAAATCAAATTTCTAAAGACTCCAGATATCTTCGGGATCTAAATCTTCAATAATTTTGTCAGGCCTATCGAAATGTTTTTTAAACGTGCTAGTCAGTTTTATATCATCAAAACTAGCCGAATAAGTCTTAGTTTGGGGATAAGTCAACCAACAATCTTTCTAATGCTGAATGAAAAAGAACTAAACAAAATATCCAAAACCAGTTCATAAGTCTTAGGGTACTACTAATCAAATCTACATAACTTATAAGAGCTTAAACATATTTGTTTATCAAAACCAAAAATTCTCCTTCCTCACCCCTAGCTTTGTGTATAATTCACTTTAAAACGTATTTCTATCCAACAACAAGGGTTAATAGTAAACCGTTATTGACTTTACTTTTTAAATATAAACATTAAATTGTAGAGTAGTAATCTAGTTCGTTTGATGAATAAAAAATATCTATGTTTGTATATATGAACATAAAAATATATTATGACCTAAAGTTGTTTAAAACAAAATTTTAATTTAGAATGCCTACAGGTGGTATAACATTTTTTCCCTGGAGTATGACCTTAAGTCATATTGAAATGTGTTTTTTTATATATACAAAGTATTGCCAAGGTTTTTGGGGAGTATATAGTTTGTATATGTATATTTTTTGTTTTTTTTTTTTCAAAAACCTAGCTTCAGGTGTTTAATTTAAAATAACAAAAATTTTTTATGAAAGAAATTTTTAAATTAAATTTTAGTGGATAACAATTAAAACATGTAGAATGTTTAAATATTTTTAATATTTTTCATAAATAATTTTTAGATTTTTTTTTAAGATTTATGATTTCTTTTCATTAACTCACAAAAGATTTATTAAATGCACTTTAGATGATTTTTCTATAACGCGTTTAAAATTAAATGTTTTAATAATTTTATTAAGAATGTTTAAAATATTAATATATATCTTTTTTTTATTTAATAATTTATATGTTTATATTTTGTTTATTAAGTTTAATTAATAATATTTATTTTCTTTATTGTTTAAATAATGTTGTCAAGTTTGGTGATCTGTTCAAGTGGCGTTTAACAACTAACAGGTTCAATTCTATAAACACTTGATTTTATATTGAGTATCAAATAAAAATGAGTTGTTGTTGCTGTTGTAGGATAAACCAAAATTCAAATTGTTTTAAAACGTTTACAAAGTATGACGTTTACTTTTTTTATATATTTTCTGGCAAATGCAACACTTTTATTTACATTTTTTCTTTCTTTTTGTTTTTTTTTTTTTTGGTATGAAAACACACAAGCAAAATAAATAAAATAGTACACAATAACGAATTGTTCACTTCCGTTTCCGTTTTATGATGGCATCTAGCCAACCAGCCAGTCAGTCTTCTGTTGTTGTTAACAGTGTAACAATGTTTTTATTATTCTCATCATCAACATTATTGCAAGCAACAACAACATCAATAAAATTGTTGTTTGTTATGGTATCGACAGCAGCAGAAGATGAGTAAGTTGTTGAAGAATTGTTGTTTTAAAAGAAAAAATACCGTTAAAGCAAATTACCTGACTTGCATTCGCGTTGAATGTCCGTTTCGAACTGAATGTTAAAGAACGAACTAAGGTTTCGTTTCGTTGTTTGCTGCTGTGTTTATGATGTTGTCTGCTTCGTTTCAAACTTGTTTAACTGTGTATGAGAGTATCTGTGTGAGTGTGTGTTCGTGTGTTCGGGGGGTTATAAGAGAGCTTGTTTGTGTGTTTATAAGAGTATGCGCTTTTAGATTTGTTGAAGTTGTTTGGCAACTTGTTAAGGTTGGATTTTGTCCGTAAGTCTGTCCTTTTAGCCAGCTTTTCTTCTTACTGTATTTTTTGTTTTATTGGACAAATTTGTTATTTGTTGTGTACTCCTCCTGTTACTCTCACCACAACGACCTTGGCACATTATAATCTCCCTCACCTCTTTCTATAAGTGTTTGAAAATGTGTGAGTATTTTGTGTTGTTGGTTATTTTTTGGCGCGCGTATTTGTGTTTTTTTGGGGTTTGTTTTTGTCTTGTTATTTGTGTGTTTTTTTTTCTCTTACATTTTTTGTTGTTAGCTTTTAGATAAGTATATGTATGGGTTTGTGGTTTTTCTTTTGTTTTGTGTTTTTTCTTGTTTATTGTGGCTGTTGTTGTTGTTCTTATATTTGGCTTGTTATTGTAATAATCTATTTCCGGTTTAAGTGTTGCCACTAATTGAGCCACAATAAAATAGCCCAGCAATTGACTTGTTGTTCTTTACTTCTTCTGCCACTTCTTCGGCCGTAATATGTTTGTGTATATTTAAGTGTTAAGTGTCTGGGCGTTTGATTACCCTTTTTTATGAACTATTATTTTTTCTTGTGCTCATATGCAATATATTTTTTCTTTTTGTTTTATTTAATAGCCATTTAGTGTAGGTTTTTTTGTGTTGCTGTAGTTTTAATAGTTTTTTGTTTTACTCTTAGTCTTTTTGTTGGTGTTTTTTTGTTTTGGCCTGCAATTATAGAAGAAATAAAATAAAATTTTATATAATTTTAATATCTTTTTAATTTATTTTAAACTAAAAACCCTTAAGCTAAGAATAAATGTTTTTTATAGACAGTTTTTTGTTTCTTTCTTTTAAGCAATTTCACTAATTCCTAAAGCTATTTTGATAAATCAATGGTATTGGGTGTACACAAAGTTATGGGTTCTTTTTTAAGGAGAAACAGGGAGGGGGCAAGGGAACAACAGATGTAGAAGAACGAAACGCGAACGAACAAAGACTAACGACACGAACGAACGAACGAACGAACGAACGAACGAACGAACGAAACGAACGAAACAACGGAACGAACGAACGAAAAACTAAAAACAACGAACGAACGAACAACGAACGAACGAACGAACGAACGAAACGAACGAACGAACGAACGAACGAACGAACGAACGAAGAAACGAACAACAAAGAACGAACGAACGAACGAACGAACGAACGAACGAACGAACGACGAAACGAACGACGAACGAAAGAAGAACGAACGAAACGAACGAACGAAACGAACGAACGAACGAAAGAACGAACGAACGAACGAACGAACGAACGAACTAACGAACGAACGAACGAAACGAACGAACGAACGAACGAACGAACGAACGAACGAAGAACGAACGAACGAACGAAACGAACGAACAACGAACGAACGAACGAACGAACGAAACGAACGAACGAACCGAACGAACGAAAGAACGAACGAACGAAGAACGAACGAACGAACGAACGAAAGAACGAAACGAACGAACGAACGAACGAACGAAACGAACGAACGAACGAAACGAACGGAACGAACGAAACGAAACGAACGAACGAACGAAGAACGAACGAACGAACGAACGAACGAACTAACGAACGAAGAACAACGAACGAAGAACGAACAAACGAACGAACGAAACGAACGAAGAAAGAACGAAGAACGAACGAAACGAACGAACGAAGAACTAACGAACGAACGAAAGAACGAAAAACTAAAACGAACGAACGAACGAACGAAAGAACGAACAACGAACGAAACGACGAACGAACGAACGAACGAAACGAACGAAGAACGAAAAACGAACGAACGAACGAAAGAACGAACGAACGAACGAACAACGAACGAACGAAACGAACGAAAGAACGCGAAAGAACGAACGAAAGAACGAACGAACGAACGAACGAACGACTAAAAAACGAACGAACGAACGAACGAAGGAAACGAACGAACGAACAACGAACGAAGAACGAACGAACGAAGAACAACGAACGAACGAACGAACGAACGAACGAACGAACGAACGAACGAACGAACGAAAAACTAAACGAACGAAGAACGAACGAACGAACAACAACGAACGAACGAACGAACGAACGAAAGAACGAACGAACGAACGAACGAACGAACTAACGAACGAACGAACGAATAAACGAACAACGAACGAACAACGAACGAAACGAACGAAACGAACGAACGAACCTAAACGAACGAACTAAACTAAAACGAACTAACTAACTAACAACTAACTAACGAAACGAACTAACTAACTAACTAACTAACTAACTAACTAACTAACTAAACTAACTAACTAACTAACACTAACTAACTAACTATAAAATAACTAAAAACTAAAACTAAACTAAACTAATACTAACTAACTAACTAACAACTAACTAACTAACTAACTAACTAACTAACTAAACTACAACTAACTACTAACAACTACTAACTAACTAACTAACTAAAACTAACTAACTAACTAACTAACTAACTAACTAACTAACTAACTAAACTAATAACTAAAAACTAACAACTACTAACTACTAACCTAATAACTACTAAAAACTAACTAACTAACTAACTAACTAACTAACTAACTAACTAACTAAACTAACGATAACTAACTAACTAACTAACTAAACTAACTAACTAAACTAACTAACTAACTAACTAACTAACTAACTAACTAACTAACTAACTAACTAACTTCACTTAAATTTACTGATCAGAGATTTTCATCTCTTTACCTCTGTTGCATCCAGTTTAGACTTAAAATGGTTTCTTAAGTGATAACTCAAAAATCGAAAATTTGAAGGCAACTAAATGTGACCATAGATTTTTGTCCTTTGTACTACGTCGGCGCTATTTTCATCAGGAATGAACTACTAACATTATCATAAATAAAAGTGATCACAGATTTTCAAACTTTCTGCCCTACCTATTTTCCGGCATTTTCTGGCGAAACCAGAAAATGCGATCAAACTCACCAAAGTTGAACCCACTTCATTCGGCTTAAGCTAATTCCCTTTGCCTTAGATTTTAAACTAACCAAGTTCTCATTCTATATCCTTTGAGGGCCAAAAACTATTGATAACCTCTAATAGTTTTTAGAGAAAGAATTAAAAAACAATATCGTTGCATTTTATATGTATGTTCCTGTTGCCATATAAAAAAAATTTATAACAAATGTACTCTTTTAAAATTACAATTTTATATTGCAGTCTCTCGCTCCTCATCAGCGATAAAATACCTAACATTAACATGTATTTGTCAAAGTTAAAGCTGAATCACTAACAATTTCATTCATAAACATTATGTTAATACAAAAATATAACAAAAATAAATTTATATTTTAAACAAATGAGTGAATGATATTTTCTAATGCAAATACAAACGTGCTCCTCATTGTAGTTAGTAAGTATTTAAAAAAATATTTATTGTACTATTTTATAGCATTTAGTTGTTGTACATTGCCTGCTAACAATTTATTTAAAATAAGCTTCGCACAGCGAAAATATAGTTTTAAATGTGAATGAAATTATAGCCTAAGGTCAAAATTTTGTTTTGTTCATCATTTTCGTTGGCAGAGACATTGTCAGTAGCAGCAGCGGCAATAGTAGTTGTAGTTGCTACAATAATGTAGCTGTTATTATTGTTGGATGTCTGTCTGTAGTAGGTATTTAAAAATGTATATACTTTTCTATATAAAAAATATAAACCCTCTCGTTCTCTAACGCTTTACCCCTTTGTCATATAGTTGGGCAAATAAATATTATATTGCATATCGAGAGCTGTTGTATCCTTTTTGTTGTTGTTACTGCTGCTGCTACTGCTGTTGTATTGTATAGTTAAAGGCGAAAGGTAGTCGAAGTATTGAAGTATTTTGTGTAGTATTATAGAAGTTTGTGTGTTTGTTATAGCGTTTCATTTATTTAGACGGTTGAATGGTATGAAATGTCTATATAAATATATCTTTATATATATCTATAGTATATATTATGTATGTATATAGTAAACATGTATATTCATTCATTCTATGTTATATAATTACATCTGTTTGCCTCAAGACACATTTGTTTGAAATTTCGCCCGAGGCCAAGTTATCACAAGTTCGTTTTTGTTTATCCGGCGGCTAAAATATGTTGCTGTTTGCAAAACGGAAAAAAAGAGAAGAGAGAGACAAATTGTGAGTAGTGAGGTGGTAAAGAGTATAAGGCAAAAAGAAGGTTTGTTTGTGGGGTTAGGCGAAAAAAACATTATTTTGTAGTGTTGGGTTTAGTGTAGCTCTACTAACTATGGTATACTTGGAAAAGAAATTTAGCTTGAAAAAAGGTTGACAATATAAAGTTTTCTGAAGTAGCTAGAATGCCTTCTATCTATTGAGATTTTTAGTAAAAATGTCTCAAGGTCCCCTCTAACAAACCTTAGTACTTCGTGCTAATAAAGGATCCTAATAAAGACTACTTCGTGGCCCAGTTAAGACTAGTTAGTAGACTAGGTAATAAACTAAATTAATAATAAATTAATGCCTAGACTGGTTAATAGACTCGATCATATATTGGTCAATAAACTAGTCCATTTTATAGTTTTATAACCAATAGACTAGTCCAGAGACAAGTCAATAGAATAGTCCACAGATAAGTCAATAAACTAGTCCACATACTGGTCAATAGATTAGTCCACAGATTAGTCAATAGACTAGACCACATACTAGTCAGTAGACTAGTCCATAGACTAGTCAATACAATAACCAATAGACTACTCAACCCACTAGTCAATAGACTAGTCCACAGACTAATCCACAGACTAATCCACAGACTAGTTATTAGACTAGTCATTAGACTAGTGCACAGACTAGTCAGTAGACTAGTCCATATACTATTCAATAGACAAGTCAGTAGACTAGTCAATAGACTGCTCCAGAGACAGGTCCACAGACTAGTCAATAGGCTAGTCCAGAGACAATTCAGTAGACTAGTCAGTAGACTATTCAATAGAGTAGATAGTAGGCTAGTCAATAGGGTAATTCACAGACTAGTCTAGAGACAAATCCATAGATTAGTCAATAGGCTAGTCCAGAGACAAGTCAGTAGAATAGTCCAAAGACTAGTCAATACACTAGTATAGATAGTCCACATATTAGTCAATAAACTAGTTCATTGACTAGTCATAGAATAGTCAATGGACTACTCCAAAAACTGGTTAATCAAATAT